TATACTCTTCATTTCATTTTCGGCTTCCATAGAATTATCTATTCTTGGTACAGATAATATAAAAACAGAACCTATTATAGGAACAATAAGCAGTAATAGGATCATTTTGTTTGAAGCAACACTAGGTTATTTTGTTTTATTAAAGTAAATTTGAATTTACTAATTAAGGCTACTAGACTAACTCATTAAATTATTAACAAGTTGAGTATGATTGTTTATAAAATAAAAATCATAAAAAAATATATCAGAAGATTTCACAATCTCTATGAAACATAATATTTATGTAAATTATATAATTTTATAATTTACAACTACAAACAATGTATACTCTTTTAGAGTATAAGCCATAGCTCTAGAAAAATCTTTTCATTTTATTTTCAAACACCTCTTTAGATTCACCCCGTAGGTGTAGGGAAGAAAGAAATGGTATACTAGTCCTGAATGCTCCCCTACCCCTTCGGGGTTAGAAGAAAACGTGGTGAAGCAAACTTGCAAAGCAAGCCCACTCCGTGTTGTTAGACCGTTTAAATAGGAGGATTGAGGCATGGAACTTCTTTTAATGTATATTCTATACTGATTCTCACTGATCTCTCAAAGAGTACAATCAAAACCAAAGTTATAATGTAATATACCTATTAGGGTGCAAACATCTTTCAAAGTGAAGCATTCAGTGCATAAAATTAAACCACCTGTTTCATAAGATCCGTCACACATTATCCAATAGGCTAAAGATATTTCGTCCATAAAAATTAACACCCAGAGGAGAAATGCAGCTTCGCTGAAAAATGCCAGCTGGTGGCCAGCGAACTGGTAGTATTTTTGTACTGTTTGGATAAAAAGCACTGTATAAAACTCGGAGAGTAAATAAAGCTCTTGTTTTGAATTCCACTGCATAATACCACTTACCATATCTTTTGTAAAAATAAGGTTTAAAAGTTGGTTTTGATGCTACAAAAGTAGCCAAGAATGTTCAAACATGAAGAAGAAAAGAAATATGAATTACTGACTGTTTGAATCCAAAATGAGGATTTCAATTTGCAGACTGCTGCTTAATCCAGCTGTCCACAAGCATTAGACCAATTATAACTTGGAATAAGAAAGAAGTCAATTCAAACATAGAATAAACGATTTTACGCAACGATTTTCCGCCATTTAGACCAGAACCTGAAGAGCTAACATACAGGATAACAGAACAAAAAAAATGGCACTGATGGCCCAGGCAGTGCATAACTTCATATAATTGGAATTACAGCTTTTGATTATTTCCTTATAGTGGATGTGGTGAATCTTTTGCCAATTTAGCCATAGTCTTTTATTTTTTTACACCAGCTCGAGGGCCGCTGCGGCCATCGAGCAGAGACAGAGAAATCATCCCAGAAACTTATCGCGCCTAAAAGCGAAGAACGAGCAGGTCGTGCGAGAGTGGGATTCTTATTAAATCATTCTCTTGCATGGGTCCATTGAGGCCCTGATCTCTTTTAGTTTATAGGAAAAATTAGAAAGATCTAAAGGTTTAAAGGTTTAGAGGTTTGTAGGTCGGTCACTTCCCTTGTTCTTACTCGTACCTCGCTCAACCAAGACGCTCCCTTGCTCGTTCAAATCATTCAGTTAAAAATTAAAGAAATTTCTTAGGATAGATTTTTCTAAAGGAATTTAAAGATTCGTGGACTAAGTTGACATCAGAGGAATAAATCAAGGCTTGGGGCGTGGTGTCGACCCTGGTTGTCAACTCTATGTCAACCTGTGTCAAGCTGGTAGATTGCGCCGTTGAAAGATCAAGAGTGAGTAAAGCTGCTCTGAGAGCGTTCTAATTAACCTTTAAGAAACCCGGAATGGCTTGACATGACTTTCTGCTAGGCAAGTGTATTACCAAATGATTTCTAATTTCACCGTGTCCTTTGTTTAAACCTTGAATTGAGCGTAGCGAAATATGAGTGACTTGACACGAAACTCTGTAAGGTATGAACCCTAGCGAACCAGTTAGTGAGATCTTTCTACGAGGTTATTAGGAGGCCAAAAAATGAGGTACTAGTTTAATTTTTCTAAGATAGCCGAACTATAAATTTGTAAACTTAAAAGATAACCATTTAATCATCCCTGTGGTGCGCAGCATTAACTGAGCATAGCCAAATAGGATAGTTAGTTTGTTAACCTACTTAATTCATTCTGTATAGACAGCGAAGTGAGGTAAAATTTAAGTTCTCGCTGGCTGCTGCCTTCCCAAAAAATGCAGTGTGGGGATGCAACACCTCAAAAAAAAAAAAAGAGATAAGGATTGTTCTTCCCTGCATGGGCCCAGGCAGGTCAGATAATTTTCTTTTCCATTATATCCCAGGCAGTTTGCAACTGCCTCGATAAAAAAGGGCTGGCAGCTGGCCCTCAAAAAAAAAGAAGCTGGGGATATAATTTAAATAAAAGTTATAAAAAGGTTTTACGTGGTATTAATTAATAGACTCAAAGTTTAGAAACCCTTTGTAAATAGTATTTGCTCAATGCATTGACTAATGCTTTGATAAAAAAACATTGATTTTGTGCCAGAAGTATCTAGCATTTTATAGAACTGTGCTCAGTCACAACTCCAGTTCAGTAGCTCTCACTTTTTTAGAAGTAGTGGGATTATGAAATTTCTAATCTGAATTTGGAATTAAAGTATTGAGCATTTTATCTGTATAGAATTGTGAGACAAAAGTTGCTTCAATAGCTTGTAAAGCACCTAAAGCAATAGCAGGCGAAATAAAACTCAGTACTCCAATGTTAAAGGTACTAAAATCATGTTCACACATAGTTTTATAACGTTTTGTAGCTGGTAAACTGAGAGATAAACAATCTTGGTAATTATTAATATGATGTTGAATTCTTTGGAAGATATCAATAGATGAACCGATGTAATAGTAAAGAATAGTTCCAGAAACTACTATTAGTATTACATATATGCCTGCCTTAAAATGTAGATCTGTTTTTAAAGCACGCATGTCTGATAAAGAGTTTAAATATAATAAATCTTTAAGTTTTAACATTTGTTTGTAAAGTTTATATAAATATTGCTTAATTTATAGGTTTAAAATTGTTGTTGCCTGAATTGCTCCCTTACTTTTTTTCCTGTATAACAATATCTAAATAGTTGCAGAGAGAGAGGATAAGCCATAGCTCTAGAAAAAGAATCCAACTTCAAATACGTACAGGCTATTTTTTTGTACATAGAAGAGCTTATATATCTATATTAACCACACAGCTCCCATTTGCCTTTCAGGACTCTGCTGAGCTCTGATCTAGGCTAAAGGGATATTAAATATAAAATAAGCAGGAAACATATTAACAATCAGTTACATATTGAACTTTGTATCATTTTAAAACTGTAGACCCATTTTGGATTGCTTTTCCTAACCATCGATGAGAACTTTAAAGAGTATCTCAATTTTACGTACTGCCACTAAGATTCAAAGATAGTGTTGAGTGGATTTGTTTTTGTTGTGGTGACTAATTCTTTTTATATGGATCGAATCAGCCCATCGACTAAGGTTTCTTGCACTAGCTAATCATTAAACCCAATAAATGATAAACTGGCTTGTTTTTTTGGTCTTCAATTTTTATAATAAACCACGGTAAAATAAGATACAAAAATGCACAAGATAATGAATAAACATAAAGATATAAAGTATAGCGAGGAATGCACGTGTTAGCTTGTGACAAGATTGTTAGACTTTACAAACTATCCTATGACTCTGACATAATAAGCCCAAAGAAGGCACAATCTATCCCCCAGCCTAAACTCGTATATGAGGTACGAACTTTACGACTTTGAATCAGTGTTAGTAGCTCGAACACCGCATAACAAATGGAGGCTATTTCTTCCATCAGAATAGAAGAGTTATTGTATTAAAGTGTGGGCTGATTCTTGTCTTACTGTATTGGAGAAATTGCACCGCTTCAGACCAGGTTAAAGAACAAAGGGAACCCCGTAAAGTCTAACGCTCAGTTTTCATAAATTAATAAATTAACCGAATGCGGAGACATAGTGAGGGCTCGGTCAGATAATTGAAAGAAATTTAGCCACTCATAAGTATTGTTCTTTATTCGTTAACTCTTCCTCTAAGCAATATTCTAAAATCTCTAATTGGAAATTAGTGTGCTCATGTTTAACTAAGACTTTATGGATATTCATGTTTGCTCTTTCTTCAGTAATATGCTTATGGTTTAAATGTCTTTGAATTCAGTTGGCAATACCTTTCATCTTTAGCTGAACCAATAAAGCTTTTCTCATTGATTTTATTAACCCATTTATAGGTACCAGATTTCTTTTGATTATTCTTAGAGATAACAGTTCTATTCTCAAAAGGGGATGCAAGGACCAATAGTAAACTACGATAAAAAAGAATAACCAGACTACATCTACAAGGTGATAAGGGGTATTAAGATTAAACTAGAAGAAGAAGAGTTGGTGAACTCTTATCTCATTTTATACTTCATTGATCTAACAACAGAAGGTCAGATAATTGAAAGAAATTTAGGCACTGAACCAACTCAAATATAAATTCTGTTTCATGAGTGAATAGAGCATTTTAAGCCATATTTATCCCGTAAAACCGTTACTAAAATCTCCAGATCGCGTAAAAGAAAACCATTAGTATTTAAATGTATTCCTTTACCTGTTTTATTTCCATCATCCTGAAACCAGTAAGCCAAACCAATTAGAGTATAAAGATCTCAAATATTTGAAGGCACTACTTTTGTTCGTGATCCATCAGGGTTTCTTCGATAAAATAATCTCTCCAGGACATTTAATGATTTTAAGAATTTGGTTGTAAAACTTCAATAAGGGTATTCTTTCCCAGTTCTTTTGCCTTTATCGATTTGTCTAGTAGGTTTAGCCATATTACACCAACCAACCCCCTCTCTCAGGCCCTCTGCATCCCCTACCCCTCTGGGGTTAGGGGTGAGATGGCAACCCCAAGAGAGGGGGGCAGATGAAAATATTTTAAAAACATGTCTTAAATAAGACAGATGAATTTCACTCTGTGCAAATTGAAAATAAGAACCAACATTTTTATATTTTCTCACTAAGGTAGCATCATCTAATAAGGTACCAATCATTGCTTGATTTGCATATTCCATAGAATTGATAACGGGTAAAACAGCTAATTCCATAATAGGAACAATATTTGCTAAACTCTGAAATAGATCTTCCGGATTGAGTACCTCAACTCTGAAAAAGACCTTCCAGATTGAACAACTCAGAGAAAAAGGGGGTATTAATGCCTAAACCAAAAACATCTCCAGCAGACCAATAGTAAACTACAATAAATAAGAAACCTTAAAATGTCAATTGATTCAACACAAAAGTTTGAACTTAAGGCTAAGATATGTGATAAGTGAGAACAGAGAACGGATCAGTGATAAGTGAACAGAACAGCAGACAAAGTGAAGAAAAGAAATAACAAATAATTTACTCAAATACTGTTCTTCTAGAATTCATTCCATGTGCTATTTAGATAATTCTTTTCAGACCAGAATCTGTAAGATGTCCTTTCGAGGCTACAATTCCAACTATTTTACAAAAATCTTGGTAATCAAAAGCTTTTGCACCATAGATAGGTGTATCTCCAAACACAGAGATAAATTCTTTAACTCGATCAATCCCAGTAATATTTATATAACCAAAGTTAGTCTCAGGATCTACATAAAATGCACCCATTCCTAAAAAGGAAATAATTTGATGTAGAACTAATTCACTTTTGAGGGTATTACCAAAATGAATTAAGGGTGCAACACTATAACCGGTAGTATAATGAGGAGACTCAGATAAACCAGGAGAAAAACTACCATCAGTATTAGCGAAACCAGATAACCAAGCTAATGTCATAGTATCTAATTGAGGTTTATATGCTGAAAGTGGAATTGAAAGCAAGTTAGGAAAAGCGGCTTGTAGTTTATCATTCACACCTAATTTCATGAGCTCACATGTGAGCTCATAAACCTACTAGTCGTTCTAAACCTGAGGGTGTTAAGTGTTCATCGGCTTGAATTATGTCTAGAACTTGGCACCAAATGGTATAATAAACTAATCGATATGTAAGTAGAGAATAAGAATTGAAGTATCATCGGACTCTCATACAGCTAGAAAAGCTTGTAAATCTTAATACATAACAACTCCCACCTGTTTTTTTCTCAAGGTAGATATTACTGGTGTTACAAAAGTAGAAATTTATTCGCTATAACATCAATAAGTTTGCTGGATTTACACCTGCAGTAAACTTGCATTCTACTTGAACTTTCCAACCAAGCATTTGCTGAGGGCTTCGACTTACTGAAAAAGTAAAACATTCGTCCCCATCTGCATTGCCTGTAATATAATTAGGATCTAAGGGTGGAGACTCTTTCGCACTTAAACCTCATAAACTTTTCTTAACGATATTTTACGTCATGCAGGAGCTTTAGATTTAATTTCTGCCACAAGTGTAATATTTTGAAGAGAATTAAGATCTACATTAAAAAGTGTACCTGAAAGGGCTTCAAAACTGAAAATCGAGACCCAAAAGAAGATTAAAAAAAGAACTATTACAAGCTTTCTACTAAGCCAACTGAAATCACTATTTGAGTTATTGTCTGACAGAATAGAGGTTAGTAATTTAATAGTGGCATAGCTGATTAAAATTATATAAGTATTGAACCAGAAATCACTAAGATCAGGCAAATCAACCAAGGAGGTATTAAATACAGAAGAATCACCTCCAGACCAATAATAGGCTACGATATACAAGAGGAGCCATACTACGTCCACTATGTGCCAATACAAAATAGCAGACTCGTAGCCTAAATGATGAGTACTTGTATAGTGGTAGTTAATCAATCGAATTAGGCATATAATCAAGAACAATGTTCCAATTATCACGTGCACTCTGAGAAGCCCCCAAATAAACACAAAACAAAAACAAAAAACAGGCAACAAGAAAAGACAAGGAAAGGAAAAGGCAGAAAAACTGGTGCAATAAAGCATTACTCTGGAGCTCACGTAATTCGGTACTTATTAAAGCACAAGCTCCCATTTTTTAGGCTAAGACCAAAATGTTTTCTAATCATGGCTGAAGAGAAATTTAATTTGGGTGAGAAGAATAAACCAGCTTCTCTAAGTGAGTTAAAATTAAAAACCTCCTAAGTCAGAATATCAGTTACTTGTATTTTTAATGAATTAGGGTTTGCCAGTATTTTTTTTGCTATGTGTTCAGGTGATTTGTGTATTTCTAGTTCAATATTTCTTAAATTTTCTTTTGTTTCATTGCTATGTTTGAAGCTCAGTGAGTTATGAGCATTTTCTAAAATATTGTAGGTAGGTTTAAGGGTACCAAAAAAGTATTGTTCTCTATCGGTTAACTCTTTCTCTGAACAAAACTCTAAAACTTCGAATCGAAAATTAGCGTGACCATATTTAAGTAAAGCTCTATGGATGAGCATGGTTGGTTTGTGCACAGTAAGTACTCTATAAAAAATATTTAACCACTTGCTTAGCAAGATCTTTGGCAGAACCAATGTAGCTTTTACCGTTGATTTTGTTAAACCATCGGTAAATTCCAGACTTTCGTCAGTTTTCGTCAAGTAGATTTCATTTCTCCGTTGACGAATTAGCATAAATTCTTACTGGCAACATGATACAATTAGCTAAAATAAAGTTTATAGGATCAAACAAATCAAACAAATCAACCCAAATGGGGTTATTAACTACAAAACCAGAAGAATCACCTCCAGACCAATAATAAACTACGATATACAAGAAGAGCCAGACTATATCTACAATATGCCAATAAAGCAAACTAGATTCAAAGCCAATGTGGTGTGTATTGGTATATTGGTAGTTAATCATTCTAACTAGGCAGACAATCAGGAGTAAGGTACCTACAATTACATGTATTGAGTGCAATCCTGGTTGAGGCATAGAAGACTGAACCATAAACTGAATCAGTGATAGTGAAAGGAGCATCAGCATACTCCATGCCTTGTAAGCCGGTAAAGATTACTGCTAGAAGAATTGTTACGATTAAACCATTTATAGCATCATTTCTGATTCCGAAAATTAAGGAATGATGAGACCAAGTCACAAAAGCTCCACTAGATAATAGTAAAATTGTATTTATTAGTGGAACTTCGAATGGATCTATTGACTTGAATCACTAAGGGGGGTCAACTACTTCCTAGTTCTTTCTTCTTTCTCTGTAGCCCTAATTTATAAATGGGGAAGCATTTTCCACCAAACTCACAAGGCTTTGTTTTATCTAATTATTCTCTCTTTCCTTTCCCAATACCTTTGCCTTCTCTTTAACCAAGCCAAAGATGGTACCTGTAGTTGTTTGGTTCTTTGTTCTATCTCTATTTCTCTTGAATTATTATAGGGCAACCGTTTATCTTTTTTTTGAGGCTTGCACAGTAGTAGATGTGTCATAGAAAGAGGAAACTAACAGTAGAAGAAATAAGCTACAAAAGGGATCCAAAGATTTAAACCTTCTAAAGGGGATATAAAACAAATCTCATCAGAAAAGGAAGAAACCTACAAGCTTAATGGCTTCGAGTAGATTCTTCTAATCTGTATAGTTGGAAAGCATGGAAATAAGGTCGAAGCATTGATGCAACTAAAGCTGGGTTCTTAATCATGATTTTTGTGGTAGTATAATAAGCTTCAAGTCCTAATTTTCTTTAAGTAGACCAACGACTAAGATTTTGTCCGCTGTAGACAATTTAGTAGCATGAAGTTCAAAGTGATTATCAAATCAATGACCACTTCTCATTGCCCAAAAAGCTAATGTATAAATTGAAAAAAAGATAGAAAAGTGTACTGGAAGAATATTGATACCGTCGACTTTCCAGTTTTGCCAAACAATAAACAACCAAACTGAAGGTTTAGAATGCAATCTAAATGAATTTGGATTATCGCATACTTTTTTGCCTACAGAGTTAATAGCTGAGCATTGGAAACTGTCTCTTAAAAAGAGTAAGAATTCAACGTCGATACTACTTAAACTCAAGTGAATCACTGTGCCATCTTTTAAACAATACCAAGCAAATTGTTTAGCCTGACCTAACCAAGCACCACTAGATATTAGTAATCCCATGATGGAAGGGTAAATGTGTTCCTCTGGGATATTAGGACCTTCGGTTGGTAAAGGTTTAACTCTAACCAGGTGGGTTCTGCCAGAAACTTTGATTGAAACATAGTCCAAAGCAGGAGTAACACTAATTGAGTTAGCTAATTGAAGATAACTGAATGCAAACAAAGAATCGATGTTTGGAAGCAGGTTACAGATTGACCAGCAAGTATTCAGTATAAAATCTAATGCAATCAAAAAGGGGGTATTAACGGCTACACCAGAAACATCTCCACCAGACCAATAATAAACAACAAGATAAAGGAATAACCAGACTACGTCAACGAAATGCCAATAAATTATTCTGGACTCAAAGCCTAAATGATGTGAAACTGTGAATTGATAGTTAACCAATCAGAAGAAGCAAACTGCAAGGAATAAAGTACTCACAACAACATGAATCCTGTGTAATCCTCATACTTGCGTAGAAGCATGAACTGAAAACTGAGTCTGCAATAGTAAATGATGCTGTTGAGTATTCAAACCCTTGAAGTGAAGTAAAGATGATAGCTAATACGATAGTAGATATTAAACCAACTATTGCTGAGGTTCTGTCTCCACTAATCATTGAATGGTGTGCCCAAGTCAAAGTTGCTCCACTTGATAATAGTATAAATGTATTAAGAAGCGAAACTCCAAAAGGATCCATTGTTTCTACTCCAATAGGTGCCAGAGACCAGCTAGTTCAACTGAAGGGCTAAGTGAACTATGAAATATTGTCCAGAAGACCGAAAAGAATACCATAACTTCACTGATAATGAATAAGATAAAACCAATCATTAAACCTTTTTGAACTTGTAAAGTATGTGCTCCGATATATACTGATTCAACTACAACATCTCTAAACCATAGTGTCATTCCGGCAGCTGTCAGGATGAATCCTAAAGTTAATAAAGTTCCACCATAGTTAAAACCATGTAAAAACATTACAGCCCCGAGAAGTAAACTTAATAATGAAAAACTAACCAGAACAGGCCAAGGTGATAAATCCACTAAATGATATGGATAATTTTGAATTTGATTTCTATTGATGGTAATCATTTTTATTAGAAATTATTTTGATCTTATTTGTTAAAAATTATACACCAAAGTTTCCGACTATTACTAATAACTATTACTAATAGAAAGGGAGTCCAGGATAACAATAACGATTGTTAATTTGGTTGCTTGAGAATAATAATTCCTTTAAAGAAATTAGTACTTCTTTTAGATTTTGTGGGTTTCCATGATTTTTTCCATTGCAAATTAAGACTAATTCGGTAGCCCATTCTAAATTTTGAAGTTTATAATTAATTAAGTAGTTTTCTTAGGTAGTTCTATTGTTAACCAGGATTTGGGGACAATATATTCTTTGGGTAGAAACAAATTAAACCTTTGGCCTTGCAGCAAATAAAATTATATAAAATTATTGTGCTGGGTCCCCATGCTGGGGCTCCAGGTGAGGGCCTCCATATTTCATAAATATAATATATAATGAAGTGAAGTGGGTAGATTTTGACTTATTCATTTTCTAAATCATTTAACAACTAGCTTTGTTTGGCATGGCAGAACCACCCAGTTGGTTTAGCTGTGTTTTCAATAGACCCAAACAAACACAAGATTTGCAGGTTGAAGCTTTCCAGCAGCAGGCTTATTAGCAGTTACAAATCACTTATAGTTGACAGTTTAACCATTTAAAGTTATTAAACTAACACGAATCCTGCCAAGTATTTGACTATCGGCATTTTGACTCAGCTATTGTTCACCGATAATCAGTTGGGGAATGCATCGGGTTATTGATTTGTCACCCAGGGCTTGCAACACCAGCTGCATTTTTTCTTGGAAGCAGCAGAAGTTATTTACTTTATGAGTAATAAAGCTTTTTCACCAGGACATTTAACTTACACCTTTTGTATTTTATTACAGAAAGAGAGATAAGAAGGGTAAGGCCTTTTGCAAACATTAAAGAAGACGATTGGGTTAATTTCTCTTTACTGAATTACTGATAGTTTATTACTGAGTTTTATCCTGTTCTTAATCTATGTTCATATTATTTTTTATCATGGTTTTTTTGACCCAGGATTTGTTGCTTTGTTGCGAGGTATTTTTCTTTTTTAATTTGTTGAGTTCCTTTGGTAGGTTAATAGGAAGAAGAATAAGCAGAGACTTTAATCCATGTTTATGGAAAAGAGGTTGGGGTTATAGGAAATAAGAGGGTCAGGGTAAGGTAATTTACTTCAATTAAGAGTTATTTTTGTAACCTATAAACTTATTACTAGATAACAGAGTTCTTAACAGTTTTAATAGTTCAAGCACTGTTCCTCAATAAATTTAACGGCAGGTTCGCTGGCCATTTGGTGGTCAGCAAGCCACAGCTCTAAGAGTTTGTTGATTGAATTGATTGAACACTACCCGGAGATTTAGAAAGTGATAAGTGGATCAGACAATTGGAGGTCTCTCGAACGATACGAGGTTTTCTGAAGATTAGAATATTTTGTAACCTTAGAATAACCCATACTCATATTATTAAATTTGTAGTGTGAAGCCTTTATTTGGGGTTAAACCTAGAATCAAAGAATTTGGAACTTTGACTAAATACTTTTCCCATTTCCAATAAATTATTAGAGGGCTCAAAATAATTGATGTGGGGTTATGGTGGAGAATCTACAAACAGGGGTAACACTATTAATTCGTTCTAGGTGTTTCAAAATTCGTTGCAGATTCAAAGAAGCATTGCTTGAGTATCTTCTAATGCCAAAAGTAGTAGAGCCATAAGAAAATAAAGTAGAAGAAGGTAAAGAAATGGCAGCCTCTGAAATCGGTTGTGCAGGTTGTATTGCTGTGGCAAAAAAGGGCTGGATCCTGCCTGTCATTGATTGATAATTTGTGATGCGGATTCCATTTATTGTGGTTAATTGAAAAGAAGGGATCCCATAAATTTTGATAGTTAAATAACAATTCTTGTCCTCGCTTTAATATATAATATATTATATGTGTGCTGGGTCCCCACGCCGGGGCTCCAGGTGAGGTCGGATGAAATTTTAGGCCCATACTTACCCAAGTAAAACAAGAAGAAATGAATGCTTTGGGCTTTCATGCAACTGTTAAACATATTCATCATAACTGCTTTAAATGTGCACCATGATGCAATCAATGAGACACTGGGTGTGCCAATTAATAATTGAAGGTGAAAGCTGGTAAAGATACTAAGAAAAGTTCAAATCTTCTAAGCATCTTTACTGTCAATTTGTGATAAAAGAATCTAAATTATTTTGAACATTTGGTGAAGGATGATGAAAAGATTGAAAAGAGATTGAACAAAATATGAATAACTATTTCTTCAACCATTTTATATTTTATAAACTGTCAGAGAAAGTTATAATAGAAAGTTTTAAAATGAATGTTATAAGCGCTCATTTGAAAGCTATTAGCATGGCTTTACAATGCAATTTTGTTTATATTTTTAGCATATGTGAATCTCAAGATATTTGATACTCTTTGAGGGCCACTCTTATCAACAGTTTTGTGGCGCACACACAAGTTCTCAGAATATTGTGATTCTTGATGTGTTGACAGGGTTCCTTGTGGGAATATTGATTGGATGATCATGTTTCAACATGAACAATGTACAAACAGCCATACACAACTCTTCACACTCAGCCAACATCATGCCAAAAGCCGTTGCTACTGAAACTGTCAACCATGTCATTGCTTTGCTTCAGAATGGCAAATTTGTTCAAGAAATTGAAGCTTTGACTGGGCTACACTATTCTATCATCAGTACACTGTGCTCCACACACTGCCCCACCATTCCTAAGGCCAAAGGAGGGCATCCTTCCCTTCTTACTACTGCCAATCTTCGCTATGCTACTTGACTCATTGGGACTGGCAAGGCTACCACATCTCCTGCTGTGGCAAGAGCTCTTGCAGACATTACTGGGAGGGTTGTCAATGCAGAGACAGTGTGAAGAGGGTTTAAGAAGGCAGGAATGAAGGCTGTAGTGAAGCAAAAAGGGCCTTTACTCTCTGCAAGGCATCAGAAGGAGAGGATGGACTTCGCTTTGGCTCACCAGTATTGGACTGTAGAGGACTGGAGAAGGGTGGTATGGTCAGATGAGACAAAGATTAACAGGATGGGGTCAGATGGAAGGAAATGGGTGTGGAAGAAGCCAGGGGAGAGCCTCAGTGATAGGTTGGTGGAAGGGACTCTAAAGTTTGGAGGTGGATCCTTGATGATGTGGGGCTGTATGGGCTGGGATGGTGTGGGGTATGCCTGCAATATTGATGGCAGGATGGATGCAGACCTTTATGTCAGCATTTTGGAGGATGAGCTGCAGAATAGCCTGGAGGATTGGGGCAAAACTGTGAAGGATGTGGTGTTCCAGCAAGACAATGACCTCAAGCACACCAGCAAGAAGGCCAAGATTTGGTTCAAAGACCATGATTTCAACACCATGCTATGGCCCTCTCAATCCCCAGATCTCAATCCCATAGAGAATTTGTGGGGTCACCTCAAAAAGAAGCTTGCAGAGTATCAGGAACCACCAAAGGGAATTACTGAGTTGTGGGAAAGGGTAGAGAAGGAATGGGAGGCTATTGGGAAGGAAGTGTGTCAGAATCTGATTGAAAGTATGCCAAGGAGGGTGGATGCAGTTATGAAGGCAAAGGGAGGCTATACCAAGTACTGAAAGTATGAGTTTTGTAGAACCTGAATATGTGCCACAAAACTGTTGATAAGAGTGGCCCTCAAAGAGTATCAAATATCTTGAGATCCACATAATGCTAAAAATATGACCAAAATTGCATTGGAAAGCCATGATAATAGGCTTTCAAATGAGCTCTTATGACATTTATTTGTCCCAGTCGTTGAGGACATATTTACCATACAAGTCGAAGTAAGCAATCTTATCAACAGTTTTGTGGGTCACTGTATATGTTGGCACTATGCTAGTGCTATGGTCAGCAGGGTAATACTAAGGTTCTAATATTAGCAATATGCTAGTACTAAGGCCTCAGAAGGTAGTATGAAAGTAGTGTGGTAGTACTAAGCTAGTACTAAGATCTGTAGGTTAGCACTATGCTAGTGCTATGCTGGTACTAAGTGAGTACTAAGGTTTAAATGTTAGTACTATGCTAGTACTTAGCATGCACTAAGATCTAAATGTTAGTACTATATACATATGCTAGTACTAAGGTCTGGAGGTCAGTACTAAGTACTAAATCTTAGTACTACGCCAGTGCTATGCCAGTGCTCAGGTTCAAATGCTATTACTAACATTTGAGGCTTAGTATCACCTTTCATATTCTAGTACTGGTTTAGTGTAAAATGATGATGATGTGACATGGTCACAATATGTTCATCACCTTTAACCAACAGGAAAAGAATGACAAAAGATTTTGAAACTTTTTATTCTAATTTTGTTTGAAAGATTGTAAAATTTCAAAAACAATGATCGCTATTATTTCATACAATCTCTTTTCAATCTTTTCATTATCTCTGACAAAACAAGATGCTGAAGAGATTTGAACTTTTTCTTCAAAATCTTTATCATCTTTCATCTCAAATTATTGATCATTTCACCTAGTAATATGATGACAAGAGTGTGACTTAGTCACAATATTTTCATCATCTTTGTGCAAAAAAAGTTAAAAAAGACTTTGAAACTTTTTATCATAATATTCTATAAAAGACTTTCAAATGATTGAAGAAGTATTTATTAAAATTTCATTCAATCTTTTCCTAATGTTTTGATCATTTTTCATAATAAAAAATGTTAGAAATATTTTGAATTTTATCACAAATTGATAGTTAAGATGCTTAAAAGATTTGAACTGTTTCTTCAATATCTTTATCATCTTTCATGTCAATTATTGATTGCTCCACTCGGTGGTACAGTTGAATCAAAGCACTGATTCCTACATTGGCCATTGTAGAAATTTCTTGATAGGCATAACATTCATGCAGCAACAACTGTTAGGCTCATCTAATTATGCCTTTTTTCTCAGTATGCTGCAAAGAAAATATCAATTCCTATTATGAGAAAGGTGTGAAAAGTTTTTAATTTTTTTAGCTTTACCTTTATAACATCTTATCAGTGATACTGACCACTGGGTGAAGCAATCAATAATTTGAGATGAAAGATGGTAAAAATATTGAAGGAAAAGTTCAAATCTTTTAAGCATCTTTACCGTCAATTTGTGATAAAAGTATTTAAAATATCTTTTATTGTGAAAGATGATGAAAAGATTGAAATGAGATTGCATGAAATGTTAAAAATCATTTCTTCAATCATTTTACAATCTTTCGTACAAAACTATAATGAAAAGTTTCAAAATCATTTTTCACTCTTTTTTGATCAAAGATGATGAAAATATTGTGACTATGTCACACCCTTGTTTTTATATACTAAGCTAGTACTAAGATATGGAGGTTAATACTGAGGTTTATATGTTAGCAGTATACTAGTACTATAGTCAGAAGAGTAATACTAAGATTCTAATGTTAGCAGTATGCTATCAGTAAGATTTAAATGCTAGTACTATGCTAGTATTAAGGTCTGAAGATTAGTACTAAGCTAGCACTAAGCTAGTACTAAGGTCTGCAGATTTTTTTTGTACATTTATTTGTATACCATGCTATGCGCGGTTGGATGGAGGTAAATACAAAAGTGGACTACACGAGGAAGTGTCGACGCACAGATGATGAGTAAACAAAGGGAGCTGGGCACCAGATGCTGGGTAGAAA